GGGGCCGCCCCGGCGGCTTCGCGCAGTGCGTCCAGCTGCAGGCCGTCGTCGGCCCTGGTGCTCCCCTTCACCCCAGATCTCGCTGCAGCCTGCGGGGAAATCCCCCACGAAGAAAGCGAAGGCGAGGCCAGGCCTCTAAAGCGCTCTCCGGCCGTGGCGTCTAGACCGGTGAAAGCTAAGCCCTAGCATTTCACATCTTGGCCTGCATGTGGTTCCTCTGAAGCTGTGTGCGCACTGAGGCGCTGGTTATGCTTGGAAGGTAATGAGCAGTATGGAGTCCGGCTGGCTGACAACCGAATTAGCTAGTAAAACGATGGAAAGAAATTGGCATGAGTAGGTCTTGCATCGCAGCAGATTTGAACACTGAGCTTTGTGTGCATTATTTTTCAGTTCATGGATAGGTTTTGGATGGATGGAGATTAATGTCAGTAATGATACGGTGGCATCAAAACGTAAAAAGTCATTGGAACTGTGGGGGATATGTGTGAAAATTGATATTATCTGTGTGCCTTTTATTCATCCTCTGCTTGTGCAATTTTAGAAGATGCAGCCCAGACTGCCAAAATGGTTAGAATGTTGTCACTGAGTTTGTGGCAGAATAAGGTTTCTGTATGCTCATATGATTTTTGTGATTGTTGTAACTATTGTAATCCTATCTGGCACTAAAAGAGTGCCAAAAAAAGAGGAGTTTGATATGGATGTACAAGTTTTGTTTTGTTTTGTTTTTTTTTCACCAGTGGGAGGAGAAAGAGCTGCTCTCTTGAGAGGGTTGAAGCATGAGCATAGCCATGTGGAAAAGGAACTTCTGTTGTCTTCTTTTGTGAAATACGTTTTGAGCTGATTGAGATACAAACTTCTGAACATTTGATACTTACACATACTTTGTGGAGCTTGATTTGTGAATAGTTGCCAAAAACGCTGAATGTTCTTATCTGTGTCCTAAGCCGTGTAATGTCTTCATGACATCAGCCTTAAACACGCTTCTAAGGTGTGTTCACATTAGCAAATATGAAACTGGTATTTTTGGCAGGGTGCAGGGACTGTATCCTGAGGAATGTTTTCAACTCAGATTGCCTATTCTGGGAGTCAGTGTGCTTCATAACCGTTTTTTATCAAAAGGGACAATACGTTTTTCTCTCATCTTCCTTAGAAAGTGCCATCAGGAATTTATTTTCTGTTGTACAAACAACAGTACTGCTGCTGCCTTGTCTGATGTATTTCAAGTTAGTGTTTTTACCTCATGGTTGTCTTGGTACTTGTAGGTATGCTGTGATATGGTGGATCCCACATTTTCCCTTCATCAGTTCTGACGTGGTGATCCTGTCCAGTCCTGTGACAGAGGGATTTAGGTCCTCGGGCTTAGTTTGCTTTGTTGAGTTCTAGGATCCAGAGGGGGAAGGAGGGAAAAAAAAAAAAAAAAAAACACGACAACTCTCAAAATGCCCAAAGTTCCTTAAGGAGAACTTTGTGGACAGTAGAAAATCAGGTGTGAAGTGCTGAAGGTTAAAGCAGAGACAAGTTTTACTTCTTTTGTGCTGTTTACAGTATAGTCTTTAATTACATACACCTATATTTCTGCATGCTCTAAGCTGCCTCGAGCAATTAAGAGTGTAGTCTACAAATAAGCCACAGAATTTCAGGGATTGTAAGACATTTCTTGCTTATATTTGAAGCAATAGTTTTAAAAGAATTTATATGCATTTATCTGCTTGACAGAGAAGACTGTGCTGTGCATGCAGTCTTTAATTCTTTATTTTACTTTTCATCTTTAATTCTGATATTTTCTAACCTTGCTCCAATAGTATTTTAATGCTTTCTCTGTGTTGTAAGGTATGTGCTGAATTTACTGCATTGGTTAAAATACTGTGATAGCTTCAAGTGTATAGTTGCTTTTGTTGTAGTAAAAGTGATTGTATTTTTTGAACAATTGTTCTTTATCCTTTCAGTTTCACTGACATCCTTTTTGTCAGGGTGGACTGATGAGAGAAGCTGGTAAATCTCAATTTAAGAATAAAGATTCTTGTATGCTGTAATTCATTATGGGTTCCTGTGACTGTAACTTCTGTTCCATTAACCAGTTGTAAGTTTCACAAAGCATCGTATGTCTGAATGGCTGAGTCAGAATTATCAGAACTGTATTTGAAAACTTCAGCTGCTTCCTTCCATTAGTAGTAATTAATTTTAATTGTTTTCACGTTAGTGTCAGTTTAAATCAGATCTGACTCTCCAGTATTTGCTTTAATTAATGTTGAGGATCGGAAATCATGGGACAATGCTTTCTGCTTGAAAAAACTACAAAGGGTAGGACAGGAAGACACGAACTCTTGTTTCTGAAAAAGAATTTAGTAAGATTGGTTGTGATTTCTAGATTAAGTCAACAAAATTACAATTTTCAGAATGAAATTTGAATGAAATCTGGGGAAAATTAAAGGGTAAACTCAGTAAAGAGGCAGAGAAAAAAAACAGTAGTTTAGTTTTTTTTTTTTTTTTTTTTTTTTTTTTTTTAATTTTTTTGGTAGAGATAGAGGAGGAAGTTGGGGAGAGGCATGGCAGTAATCCATCCTGTATTTTGGGAACATCATATAGGACAAGAGCCTCTATATGCAGCTCATGAGAGATGGGGGAGAAGATAGATGGGCATCTAGCCATCATTCTTATCCAGCTCCAGGTCTTTGCTCTTTTGCTCTTTGGAAGTTTCTGTCCCTTTGTCAGCCAGCTAAATTCCTCCTATTCAGATTGCAAATTAAGGCTAGATCTCAAATGGCCATGCTGCTGCAAGCTCTGGGATGTATATACGCAGGAATTTAAACCTCTTTAAAAAGATTAGGAAACTTCCCAGTGAGGGGGAGTATTGAAAGCTAGTTTATGTGAAAATTCAAGAACTCAGAAATGAGGAAATGCTACTTATTTATGGCTACTTGTGCAACTTAAATATATCCATTTGTCCTTTCCTGTAGAAATGGCTGTATAGTTTAATGAACCATATTCTGATTTTCCCCTAAAGAACCTTGCTTTATTCAGTGAGTGGCATGCACTGAAGACATAAGTCAGTTGTGTGGAAGGCTGAAACTTCTTCCTCTCCGTTGCCCAACCCAAGTGTTTGGGTACTTGATTTTGCAATTTAGGTGGTGGTAGAATTTTAACCCTCATATAAGCACGTTACAGAGTTGCCTTTTGTTTGTAATAGAAGCTGAAAGACCAGCACTGGATTAAATGCCTGTAGGCATATGGTATTGAACATTTTAGACTAAAGCTTTGCACAGATGCCATTTCTTACTGCATTAAAACTAATATTTAGCTAATGTTGTAGATTTGCACTATGTTGTTCATATATTTGTGGATCATGAGAGTGTGTATTTGCGGGCCCTCTTGTAACTGTGGAGTAAGCTGGTCTTTCACAGACATTCAAAAATTCTGTGGTCCTAAGGAACATCCTTTATCAGCCTTGGAAATCATATTTCAACCTGGATCATGCTTGTTCTCTAGATTGGGACTGTCTTTGGTGCCAGAAAAATAACATATATGATTAAAAAATTGGCCAATTTGTGCTATGAGAAATTACAGGATGATATCTGTTACCACAGCAGTTACTGTGTGTGTTAAACTGGAGAGGGAGAGGAGTTCAAAGTTCTAACCATGAGAATGTTTGGTTTGCTTGGGATTTGGTTTTGGTTATGTTTCTGTTCTTGGATTTTTTTTTTTGAGGGGTGGTGTTGGTTTTTCCTGTTGAGGGGTTTTAGAGGATAACATGATACTTGCAATGACTATATTAAAGGTGCAGGTATCATTGCTGATCAAGGCATTCAGGCCTTTAATTTGTGTTTGCCACAGAGGTTTTTTAAGTGTATGAAAAAGGGAAAACAAAGTTGGGTTTTTTGCTTCCTCTTAACCTTTCTTTTCACTCTTTTTTCCTTTGATTAATGGTAAATCAGCAGTTTTAAAGAACAGTTTCAGTTAGGAAAAAATACCTATTTCCAGACATGAGCCATTGCTTTTTGCTGCTGGTTTTGATGAAAAATTTTTGACAAAGCAGAATTAACTTCCTTTTCATGTCTTGAGCGTGTTAAACATATACAAGCATACTTTACAGAGTACTTGTGTTCTTTTTCTAAAGGTCTCAAAAATGCACACACTTAACTCATTGGAGCATTTGTGAATTCCACTGAAGCTGATAGAACTAGTTTGCATTTGTTATCTGTTGGCATCGCGCTGGGTTTGCAAGTATACATTTAGAATAAATGGTTTTAGTAGAGTTACACCAGGTACATGAGGAATTTTGCTGATTTGGATTTATGCTAGTAGAAGTGAAGATTAAAACTGAGAATGTCTCAGGATGACTAATGTCATCTGGATGTTGATTCCTGTGTACTGTTTGCATTGCTCTGTGTTGCCTGAAGCTTCTTGGAGTGCTGTTATAATTTTGGGGTTTTTTGCGCACATTCCCGTGGAGGTTACATGCTCTTTAGAAAAAGAGACTTCTATCTCTGAAATAATTATATAAATGGTTACTTCTTCCTCAGAAGTAAACATGGAATAACATTTTGCATAGTTCTTTAGTAGAACCTGGTAAAAGGATTGAAGGAAATACTTGCTATGTGCCTTGACTGGTTTGTGTTTGTTTGTTTATGTTGCAGGTTTTCAATAAAATATGCTGTTGTCAATAGGAATGCTGATGTTGTCTGCCACTCAGATATACACTATTTTGACTGTTCAGTTATTTGCTTTCCTACATCTTTTACCTGTGGAGGCAGATATTTTAGCAGTAAGTATTAGAATATTTTTTCTACATATGTGAAATCTCTATAAATTGAATCTTCTATTAAACTCTTAATGAATCTGTTAGTACAGTAAAAGTTACAGCAGGTTGCTTGGAATGGAATTGCCTTAACTATTTAGTTCAGTATAAAAACAAATTGTGCATTTTCAGATGAGCTTACACATGATGTGTGTTCAGACACCATGACAGTGAAAGCACTTAATTCCTTTAGTCATTTAAAAAGTTTCAGTGTGACCAGGTATCGTATAGGATGTCACAACCCTGTTACAAAACTCCATGATTATTTAGTGCAGAAAAGAATTTTAAGTTATGGTGATGGATGCGATTTTGTAGCGTAACTGTATATAAATAAAATAATCTTCTCTGGCTAGTGATATGTGTGTGCCAGAGGCCTTGTCAGTAAAGTTTTTGTGTATGTTACACCTAGATGTAATTTTAAAATAGCTGATAATCTCTGTTCTCATTAAGAATAATATTTTTGGGGTGTGTAGAATTTTAAGTGAACAGGCTAATTAACAATATAACAATCATAGGGTCAGTAGAAGTTGTTGCTGGCTATTTATTACCAATTTTATGTATCATGTAACTTTATAGAGAAAGCTGTATGTATTGTTGCAGGGTAGAAATGAAGCCACTGAAATAAGGAAACCTAAGTGCTGTAGTCTCTGTATTCTCTGCCACTTTCAGTGATGTCCAGGAGAATGTTTAATACCATATCAATTAATTTAGGAGAACAGAGTGAAAAAGTCTTGAAGCTACGTGTTAAAGTAAAAATACTTAAAAATTTGTGGTAATGTGGGGTTGATGAATAATGAACGATGTTATACGCTTCTCAAAAATGTTATCTACAAAAAAATAGTAATAGAATAGTAACAACCCGAAGATCTAGTTAATGTGACTATAAAATTGCATTATGGAATTTCATATAATGAAATCAAAATTCTATTATGAAATTTTAAACTGCGTTTATACCGTAATCCTGATTTCCCCTCCCCCTTTTCCTCTCTCACCAAGCCTGTGCTTCCTCTTTTCGTAAAAAGATCTTATTTTTCATGCTACTTCCTCCCTTAGAAAAGATACATAAAATCTAAACAAACCCCCACCCCAACTTAAAAAAAAAAAAAGTAATTTTGGACGTTTAGTTTAATTTCTTCTATTTAGGCTTCTGTGCGCAGTATTCTAAAATACTTCCATCTAAATGATATGTCTTTTATTATTGGATATTTGGAAGTTACAGATCTGTTCTGAGAAAATCTTTTGAGCAGGAACTAAGGAGATGAACTAGATACCTGCTAAAACTGCTGTATAAAGGAGCCAGTGGAATGCTTAAGAGACTCTGAAGAAGAGGGAAAGTTTGCACACTCACAGGATATTGAAGGCATACATATAGCTTATATTCTTGAGAGGTTTCATGGTTTAGTGACTGTTTACGGAGTAAAATTCCAGCTGAAGTTTTGGGTTTGTGAAGAAAAGAAACTCTTCCCTACTGATTTAGGTGTATTTTTATGGTACTGTGTTCTCATATAGCTGCAGCCTCAAAGAATTGTCTAGTACTGCTACATGTATATGAAGCATGATTTTTTTTTTTTTTTTTTTTTAATTAAGAGATAAAACCAAATAGGTTTGTGTCTGACTATTAGCTTAAGTTTGGGCTTGTTAAGTGATTCAACAGAAAACTTAACAGTAGCATGAGCTCAGGAAGGATGTTTTGAAGCAGGTAGGTGAGTGGATATTAAGGCTGGAGAAGGACAACGTACAGGTGCAGAGCTGTGCTACATGATAGTGGGATGGAAGATCAGGAGAGGTTGTATGGAGCAGATTGATTACACAGAACAAAACCACTTTCATGATATTTAGCTCCATTCCTACCTCTTTCCTCTTGAATATACTGAGCCTGTGGGAAGGAAGCTTCTTTGAAACATTGCTCCTTTGACAGAGTTAACATAATCATGGTAGAGTTTTTCTTTGAACTAAAGTTTGATTTCCCCTGTCTTAAGTCTGGTTATTAGGAAGTGTCCCTCTGAAATAAACAGGGTCCTTGTTTTGCTGGTCCATACCGCAGCTGGATGATACAATGAATAGACAAATTTCTGAGTCACTCAACTATTTAATAAAACTTAACAACTGATGTGTATTCAAGTAAATTACTGTGTAAGTCACAACTTTTGCCTGAAACTAACTTACTACTATTTTTTTTTTTTTTTTTTTTACTTTTAATGAAACAAGTTTTAACATACAATTTGCACTTCTTATTGTATGGATTCTGCATTGGTTAGGTATATTATAGAGCTACAGAAGATGAACAGAAAAACAAAGCTTCCACAGTTTTAAGGTCTTTACAGTATTCCTCTGTTTTGAAATGAAAGCTCAGAGTTAATATAAAACTGTAGAAAGAGTTTTCAGCTACAAACCTGCATGGTTAGCAGGGTATTGAGAAGGGATAACATATGGAGGCTATTCTTAGCCTACAGTAAACCACCTGCTGAGAGCTGTTCTTCCCTATATGCAAGTGAATTCAAAGCAAAAAAAATAACAGCAACCAAACACCACCGTCCAACAAAAACCCCACACCCAAAACCCCCAGCTCCTCAATTTTTGCTCTTTTCAGTTGTTTGTAGTTTCACTTCTGGAAATTATGGTGGTGTTTGAATTGTTGAAAGAAAGATTTAACATACAGATAATTTAATGAAACATGTATTACTTTCTTGTTTTGACAACTGAATAAGAAAAGAATGATGTTGCCATGCTAGTGGAGGACAAGTGGAAGAAACAATTTTGTGATTTCATTGACATGGTCATAAGAGGTCCTATGTCTGATAAATATTTCCGTATAAAAAAAAGTAGCAGTGTTGTTTATTTCTTTTTAGAGTTATCTGTTTCTATCTTGTTGCAAACCTGAATTTTCTTTAAAATTAATTTCTCTTAGTATAACCTTGAAAATGGAACACAGACCTTTGATGATCTCCCTGCTAGATTTGGCTACAGACTGCCAGCAGAAGGCTTGAAGGTAAAAAAAAGAACTAATTTTAAATATCTATTTCCCAAATATATACATAGAGGACTGTATCTGCGGAGCACTTTTTTGTAAGCTGAAAAACAGTCATTTCCACACTTGTGAAGACCATGGATAGCACATGAGGGCAGAGAGCAGCTTTCCTGTTTTTTCTCTCTGTAGTCTGTGTGGCCCCAAAATCTCTCCACAGCATCGATGATACTGCAATGCTTGTGAGCAAAAACATGCAAAGCATGAAACTGATGTGCAGGTACCAAGCTGGATTGCTCTTTGATTGTATAGTGCCCTTTTAATCCCAAAGGGGAGTGAAGTGCTGTAAGAATACCTCTGCAAATGAAGCTTCAGGAAGACTTCATTTTCATACCAAGTGGGCTTTTTCATAGGGAGGAGTGGTGTTAGAGCTGTGCAGTTGCTTACTGATTATATCAAGAAACAGAGGGTGATTAAGTGATTTGCCCAAGCAGCAAGCCTGTTTAATACATCAAAAATAGATATAAGGAGCTTTGATTCTAACCTTTTAAATGTCAGACGGCTGTGTCGTAACAAAGGTAGATGTCATCACCTGTGTAGAAATGAGTCTTAGTCCTGAATATAATACTAAAACTTTTCTTGCATTAAGATTTTAATTCTGTTTTTAAAATGCTATGATATTGATTGAAACAGGATGAAAATGGTATACTTTTTCAATTCTTACAATTAATATTTATTAATATAAAACACAGATTCTGTAATAACTACTGCAAAGTATAAATGTAGGTACTTTTTTATGACTAGCAGACACAAGCCAAAAAAAAGTTTATATATAAACTTCCGTATTATATATAAACTGTCAGTTCAAATATATAAATGTTTGTGTAATTATATAATCATTAATTATTGCCGTACAGGTGATGGTACCTCTCTATCTAAAGCTGTCAATGAAAACAGAGTTTAAAGCTCTCAAGATGTATCTAGAACTGTGGCAATAATTTCTTCAGCCCACAGCAGTACAGCTTCTCATGATCTTTGTTTGCGTAAAACATATTACTTATATTTGTGTTTTCTGCCAGTTCACCCCTCTTTATCTGTAGGGTAATTTGGTCCAGGTTTAGAAGAGGTTTAAGCAAGGGTGGATGTTGTAGGAATACTTATCACAGGTGATGCTCCATTGCCTTAGTGTGCAGAGGCTTCTGCCACCCTGTAACCTTATTGCACAGGCACCTTACAAAGGAAGCAGTTTTTCTGAAGAGGTGTATTTCAAATGAAGGGTAGACGAAACCCTCTCTAGGTGTGCAGTCTAGGTTTTTCTGTACCTTGGTTGTGAAGACGCCGACAGAAGGGAATCTAATATTGAACAAAGTATTAATAAACCAATTAATATTAATCTAATAACATTGTGCAGTGTGCCCAATGTTCTTTTGGCACTTGTCTTGCATGAATTTCTGTATCAGCAGCATCTACAGAGTATTCACAGTGGTAGGGAAGACAGTTCAAGGGAGTAGTCAACCCTGAAGTCACAACGCTGGGGAGAGGGACTAGTGTTGGTACATTCAGTGTTCAAGTGAGTGCATTTCCTCTGAAGGGAGCTGTGGAATTTTTCAGCAGATGTTAAAGCATGAGGTTAGGAGAGTTTCTACTCCAGATATTTTCAGTGGTGGGGTGGTAACTCAGTCACCTAAAAACAATCCAAAGATTTCTTCAAGGTGAATATTGCCAGAATTTTCTGCTTTAGTGAATCTTCCACCTGTGGCAGATTGAATGATCTATAGCCTTTATTTACCCCACTGGTTTGTGTGCTAGTTCAGTGTGGATTTCACACAGCTAGCTGTCTTTGGTTTCCCCTTTTAATTGCCAGACAGTGAGTTTGTGTGGCTATTGTACTTCAGTTTTCTTGATTAGTCTCCAGATGTCTTAGGATAATACTTCCACAGTATTATATTTAGTATATGCCGTCCTCTTTATGCTGACTATACTGCAAAGTCTGAGTTAGGAACTTCAGATGATGTAATTGGGAAAACTCTATTCTCTTTTATACTTCCTAATTCTTTACAGACAACAGGATTTCAATAAATCAAAATAGGTCATCAGGGATGTGACAGAGGTCTCGCTATGATGTAGGACTGATAATAAGAATTTGTTTAGCTATTGCATGAAGATGTACAGAGTTCTTTTCCATATGCATGTCTACCAACCTTTTTGTTAAGACAGAGGGAAGTGAAGCTCCTGTTTCTGTTCCTGTTTTCTAGGGTTTCCTAATAAATTCAAAACCGGAGAATGCATGTGAGCCTATAGCCCCACCTCCACTGAAAGACAACTCGTCTAGTGCTTTTATTGTGTTAATTCGAAGGCTTGAGTGCAACTTTGATATCAAGGTAAGACTTTCAAAACACTTTTAAAAATTAAAAAATCCTTTCCCTCTCTGTTTAAAGATTTAAGATAACTTATTTGTGCTTCAGAAAAATAGCAGTGGCTAGCTACAGGATGGATACTGATTGAAGGGAAGGGAGAGTTCTATTGTCTACAAGCAGATAAAGCAGCATTGTGATATGATTTAGTTTACTCATTTGTGAAACAACTTACATGGCAAGTAAAGGTGATGTATGGTGCATTTTTATGATGGAAAGCGTTTGGTAGCACTATAAGCTTTTCTTGCCAGTTAGACCCTTTGATATGAGGGATCAACAGGGGAGATCAGGGAATGGAGATAACATAAAAGCACCTGAATCAGGGTTGACATATGGATGATGTCCACAACCAGGCAGGAAGGACCTTCCTGATAGGTTTTTACACAGGGTCTGACCAGCCTTGGGTGGGAACCGATTCGAGGATCATCACTAGGTGCCATGCCTTCAGCATTAACATCAGGCGTTCTGCCTCCAAGTTAACAGCATAAAAGCTGGCTCTGTCTGCAGTAGTTTAGGGGGAGCTTACTGATGTAGTGAAAATACTGTGTAGGATTTCCAGCTACTGGAAGAACCCCCCAGCTGCCTATTGTAGGCAGAGCCCCCAGTGATGGTGGGATATCAGTACAGCTGGGAGCAGAGGAAGGAATAATGGCATTGTTAGTTGGACTGGTCACCTGAGTCCTCAGTCAATTCACTCCTGCCTCCACAGCATCCAGCACTGTGAGTGAATTTATCAGCCTTTTCATTCCTCCAGTCATTGGTCACCTTACATATGATTTAAGACCACAGGAAGGGATCTGGTTCATATGTTGCCCATTAATTATCCTTCCTATTGGGACAAGCAGTCAGCAAAAGAGCACCTAAAATCTGCAAGCCACCCGATTTAGTTTTGTTTTTAATAGCTGGATCACCTTCTTGTGGCTACATTGAGATCCTGTGAACAATGGTAGTGTCACTGCTGGTTCATGGGGAGAGGAGACAGTGCACTGGTGGATAGAAACAGGCACAAGTGGCAAGATGAGAAAGTTTTTAAATACGTACAACAGCTAGGTTTAATATTATGAAGTATGTCCATTAGAAATATTTTTTTATTTGCAGATGAAGTGAAGTATTCTGTTTTATTTTAAAAACACAAAATTAGAATTATTTGTGTTGGGCTAGAATACATAGTTTTCTTGAAAACTACCCTGGTATATGGGGTAGCAATTGATGTCTTAATGAAAACAGGGCTCTTGAAGTTTTCTTGACTTGCACGAACTGAAAGGAGTTCCAACTGTATTTGCGGTTGTGTGCTATGTCCACTTAGGTATTGTTGTGGTTAAACATGTCATTTCTACCCAGAGTGTAGGTTCCAGCTGTAAAAGCAGCCACACTGCTCACATCATCTACCTTCACATCTCACTTGGGATTGTCACGTGTTTTGTACAGTGAATCGTGTCACTGTGTGTGCGTATGGCTCTAGTGGGAAAAGGAAGAGCAAATGACTACTTCTGTTTTTTATATTTTCTTTGCTTCCCTTATTGCTGCCCCTGAATTGATGGGACAGTACTACTACTGAAGAGACTTTTAAAGAAACAGGTCAGAATTTTTCTAGCGGAATACATTTTTAATCAGAAATACAGCAAACGTGTGTTTGCCAAAACCAGCTTGTTTTTTTGAAGAAATCAACATTACAACTGAGCCTTTAGCTTTTTTACCGTGGTGCTAAACTAGAAAAAAAACACACCTCTGTTGCTCATAACGGAACTCTGAAATTCTGAGAAGCTATGGAAGGCTGCACTGCTCAAGGCAATAGTCAAGCAGGGGGAGGACGTGCAGAATTCCTTTTGCACATAACTATCAACTTGGTAAATGTGAATTCTTGTTTTAGTCTTACACATCTTGATTTGCCACACACAGTCAATGAGTGATCCTTGTGGAAAATGGAAGATTCATGCGCATTACCATTGAGGGATTTCCGTGGTCAGTTCTTTAACAATTAAGACACACCAGCTCTGTATGTAAGCATTTCTTGGTTATGTTTTATATTCCATGTAATATCCATGGAAAAATGAATTCCCACACACTTCTTGAGTAGACAAAGAGCAAGGCAGGAAGTGATTCTGAAGTTCCAAGGTGAGTATGGGTACCTGTGTGCTCCTAGGTTAATGCCCGAGTTTTGGTGCGGTGAATGTTTGTGTCTTTGGGGTGTGGGTAGCAGGGTGATGTTGCAGCTTCACAACACAATTGAACAGGGCATTGCTGCTGGTTTTTGCAGCCCCTGCTCCTTAGTGGTAGCTTGTACAGAGGGTGCTTGGCTTTGATTACATTGATGTCACTCTTGAGTAACCCTGTGTCAGCTGAGTATCTTGTAGGCATATTTACTTGTGGTTTTGTGCTAGCACCATTGTTTTGTAGTCTGATAGTTAAACAAAGGCCCTGTGTTAAAAGTAAGTGGCAAAAGTGTGTAGAGGACTAAAACATTTTCTTAATGAATATAAATTACTTACTACCTGTGCTGAAGGATGTATTTCATTGTATAATGGACTCTTAAAAACACCTATTCAGGATGTGATGTTAAAGAAATGAAAGAAGCGAACAAAAAAAAGTAACATTTCATGGAAGCTGTCACTAATTAACATAGCACATTTATGTAGCTATGAAGATTTAAGAACCTGTGATAACCAGGGAGCTTTGAAACTCAGGTCACTAAATGAACTTTTGTCTTCCTTTCTTCAGTTTCAACACTTGCTGATTGGTGATATTTATTATCACTGATGACTCCCATTACTGGTGGTGTGTCACAAGCTCAGATATGTGGATGTTCAATGCTTTTAATACTTTTTTTGTCTTACTTTTGACTGGTTTATTTTTAAATTATCATGCTTTATTTTTTCTTTTTTTTTTGCCTATTTTTGCTGTTGTGCAGCATGCAAGAAGACTTTGTATTTCAAGCTTGACCTAGAGGACCTTTTTTCAGAACTATCCATGGAAGTTTTCCAGCTTTACAACTCATGGTCCTCGTTATTGTTTGTCTCTTGAGAAGAGAAATTGGGAGAGTATATATTTGTATATATACACGGACATTCATACACACACATATATGTGAACATATGTTTTCCCCTCTCCTAACTTCAAGAGTGACATCTGGACCAAGAGCACCAGAATATTCCTCTGTCGTTTTTTCATATTTAGTGATTGATAGTCCACTGTAAAAGAGAGATGGTGGTAATTTCTTGGTGATTTGGTGAAGGACAGGGTTCTGTAAGATTGGTTTGTTTGTAAGGGTGGAGCTGTACTTGGTATTTGTTGATTGATAAAGCTGTTGTGATGCCCTAATATCTGAATGCTGCAACTTTTTTTAAAAAGTATATAAAGCTGTTAAAGTGTGGGGAAAAAAGATATGATTTTATTTTGAAGGGTGACAGTTGTTTTATAAGTGCAAGTTACGTTGTACTAATATTTGTAACTTCCTGAAAGTGCACCTTGTTATAGAGACGTTGGATGGGTTACTGTATTTTGAAGCAGTAATCTTTGTAATATGTATTTTGTATGGCTTACAGGTTTTAAATGCACAGAGAGCTGGATACAAGGCGGCTATAGTTCACAATGTCGATTCTGATGACCTCATAAGCATGGGATCCAACGACAGTAAGTACAGGTATCACTTCTTCTCTCCTGTTTGAAGATCATTTCACACGCTAGTGTGTACAGTATTAAAATCAATATAAAGTATTATGAAGAACTGTCGCTTGAAAACAAAAGAAGCAACAAAACAAAACATACCCAACAGAAATCCTCCTGCTTCTAACATTTTCAAGTGAGAAAGATCCATTTAAGAACATATACGTATACTTGTGCTTTGATTTGGGACATTTGGTTTATACATTCTGTTTCTTTTGTTCATTAGATTTTAGTTCATCTCCTCTGGGTTAAATGGTTACATTTATGAGGTATGACTGATGTGGAAAATAGCTGATGTGTTGTTAATTAAGTAGAAACACAGGAAAAATAAAAAAAACCCTACTCTTCTGGAAGGAAGTCAGACTTTGAAATACAACTTTTTAGCATTTGTTAGTGATTCCATTTTGTTGTTGCAATGCTGTGTACATTTTTGTCTTTGGAAAAATGGATTCCAGTTTCATATGAACACGTATTAGATGTACCTATTTTCAGTTGCAAAAAATAATATTTAGAGACCAGTGTGTCATTTTCTCATTGATTCTCTTGCTAGCTTTTCCAGTTCTAGCCTTTCATGGACTGACTATGTCCAGAACATGTTGTAGTCTAGTCAAAATGTTGGCTCTGTTTTATGGTATGTGGGTTTTGTATATTGCTGTTACAATTTTGTGGCATTTCTTTATTTTGTCTGGTTTTTAAGCTTTCTCAATATGGAACAAGAACATAAATGAGGAAAAAAAAGCCTTTCCAAGTGGAAACATCATTGAATAAAGTAGGAGATGAGCTTTCAGCAAACTAAATGGCAGCTGAGTAGCCCAGAAAGCTACATGAAAGTGGTTTTAATGAATTCTCAAGGTGTGAATGTTACTTTCAGGTTTCGCCAAGGAATTAAAATGTAGAACCAGTTCACAACAATTGCAGGCTTGACCAGTGTGAGGTGGCACCAAGCAATGAATGGTTTTGCCTTGGGGAACCTACCTGAATGCCTTGGTATTGGCTAAACTCAAGATAGTTTGACCTTTAAATGTGAAGTGTAAGTCAGGTGCAAATCAGTATAAAGTGGAGTGAGGAGAAGGCTTCCTAGAATATGGGATTTGTTTTTCACTAATTTTTCATTTGTGCTGCATCTTTTGATTACATTATTGCCTTCAGTAGTAAGCGGAGAACAGGGAGACAGGTCCATCCAGTTTCTCAAGTTTGAAATAAAGGTGTGGGATTTGTTCATTCTTTCTTCTTCTTTATGACCTTTTCTAGCCATAGCTCTTTGTACTGTGTTCATTTATTTTTAGGGTGAGAAGGAGGGAAGAAAGATTAATTAAAACTTATACTACCAGATCACAAAATCTTGTAAATTGCCAGAAATTCTGGAAATTAGTGGAGCTGTGTGACTTTACCAAGTCTCCTAGGAGGAATAAAGTTCTGGTTCAACTTTCTCTGATGATGCCTCTTTTTTTTTTTTGACCAAAAAAAAAAAAAAAAAAAAAAATAGTATGGTTTTGTGCTCTGTTTAAATATTCTGCTAAGAATTTTGTTTTACATATCTGCAGTAAAGTCCCTGGATATTTGGTAGGAAGAGTAATACCAGTTCTTACATGTTGGAAAGGTGTGGCATGAATGTGCATCAGTCTATATGTTGTAATGTTAAAATGTGTCTTCATGTTGTGATAGTCTCAAAATGTTCAGGTCTTATGTATTAAAAATGCTCATAGAGTGCATGATAATAGTTTTATTTTCCTGCTTTTTTTTTATACAGTTGAGGTTTTAAAGAAGATTGACATTCCTTCTGTCTTTATTGGCGAGACATCAGCTAATTCTCTTAAAGAAGAATTTACTTACGAAAAGGGGTAAGCTACCTCAGATGCAGCTGTATTATTCCTTGCATTAAGTCATTTTGCCTTTTCAATATATGTGGATTTAAAATAGGATGTCAGAGGCTGTAGGCATTCCAGGTGAAATCTTGTACCTGTGAGCAATGAGAAGAAAGCATTTTAAAAATTAATACAAATTGCTTTCTTGCAACAGAATTACCATATATTTATCAGATGTTACTCCTTTAATTTTCATATAGCATAAAACATATGAGTTTACCTACTTGTGTAGGAATCACAGAAATGATTGTAGGAGTATCTGTATTTCAGATCTAAGGATGTGTTCTTTTTACAAGATGTCACTTCCTATTGAAGTCAGATGCTGGTATTTTAAAAAAACAATAAAATCATCCTTTACTAATAGTTCTAGACGAAATCAGAGGTAGCTTCCTACACTAGGTGAATCTGCAGGATGCTTTTAAGATAATTCTAATGGGGTGCATGATTAGCTTTGTACTGCTTCAAGTTTAAAACTTTAAAAAGAAATGCAAGAATAATATGGTTAAAATACCTTGAGTAGGATGGAAAATGAGGTGTGGTTTGTATTATTAGTCTTATGAGTCTTGCTTCTTCGGGTCTCTGATATCCTTTCACTAAATGAATCAGAAGAACTAGATTGTGTCATTCTTAAGTAGACAACTTGCTGATGAAACTAGTTGATGAGTAAAGAGTGGCTCCACATGAGTGGTGGTTATAGAATATGTAGAAGTGTTAGTAGTTCTGTCTTCTCAGATGTTTCTGGCTGCTTGTGGCAGCAGAATAATAATGGCATTTTACTTAAGTATAAATAAATATTAGTATTCAAACGTCCAGTTGCCAACATCCTTATCAGATTCACTGGGAAGATTTTTTGTTCCTGTACTGTAATTCATTGCCTCTCCAGAGCATGAAGGGTGAACTTTACCATGCTTCATGATTTGAAAATAAATCTCCTTTGTAACTCAAAATAATAGTAATAATACTACTAATATTAAATATATACACATCTACATTAATATAATCTAGATATATAATATATAATTAATATGTCTTATAATTTATGTTATATAATAATGCTATTAATATTAATATACTGTTACTAATAATAGTAAACAGGAATGATTTCACAGTATTTCTTGGTAGTCATATTTTTCTCATTCTGTCATCAAAGCAGCTGTGAGGTTGTTTTACTTGTTGCTTTAGATGTATCTATGGTTGAAGCCAGTAAGTTGTTTCTTACAATATTTTGGACTTAAAAAAAACTTTCTTTTGTCCTTCTATTTAATTGGCTTTGCCTTATGTGGATATCAGCTGAATTTTTTGTGTTGTGAGGTATTATAGAAACTGTTATCTCTTTCTTCCCACAGTGGCCATGTTGTGTTAATCCCAGAGTTCAGTCTTCCTCTGGAGTACTACTTAATCCCTTTCCTAATAATAGTAGGGATTTGTCTTATTCTCATTGTCATATTTATGGTAAGTTCCTTCTTTTAATAACAATTTCTTTCAAACAAATAGTCATACTTCACTTACTGAAGTTAAGTGGACACAGAGGACCAACAAAAGCTTTGTTTTCTATACATACCTGTACCATGCCGTAATCCTTTATTGCTCAGTATAATAAACAACTGCAGAATTTTGGCAAAGGCACATTAGGAGCCCTTTGGATATTCTGCCTGTCATATAGCTACTTGAATTGTCCTTGCTGCTGCTCTCCACTGCACAAGCACTTTTTTTTTTTTTCCCTGTAAAGGATGACTTGTCCTTGAGCTCTCATACTTGAGAGTGTGTCCCACCTTACCAAACTTGTACTGCTTAAATAAGCAATCCCACTGTTCCACAAAGCAGGTCTCACTGCTTGTCTTAATGCAGGTATAGTAGTCAGTCAGCAAGCTCAGAACAGTGCCTTGTGCTTATGCACTGTGAGCAAGTGTAAAAATGGGCATGCCTGTAAATTATGATTAAGAGTTGTTGTCTCTTTTAACATCAGTGATGGGCCCTGGGACCCCTGGAGCCCTGAGCTGGAGGACTGCGACTGGCGGATTAAGCTCCCAGCTGACTTTGAGCTTGTATGGGATTTGCTGCTGCAGCTGACTGCATATAAGTCTGTGGAACCCAATGGGATTCATCCTAGGGTATTGGAAGAGTTGGCACATAACTGGTGTGAAGCCTCTCTGTTATTTGTTGACAATCTTGTGAATTTGGAGATGTCCTAGTTGACTTGAACCTACACAAATGTTATGTGCCCTGTTTTCAAGACGATGAAAAAGGAAGTCCCTTGTAGTTATAGGCCTGTCAGTCTTGCTTCATTGTCCTGTAAAATTATTGAGGAAATTGTGGGAGTTACTGAAAAACGCTTGAAAGATAATGCAGTCATCAGTCATGGCTAACGAGTTCATGAATGGACAGTCAGTCCTTACCAACTTAATATCCTTTTACAGCAGGGTTATCCACTCAGGGGATGAAGGGAAGGTAATGGACGTGTGGAGTTTTGGCTTTTGGGGTTGATTTGATTTTAGTGTTTTGGGGTTTGTGGTGGTTTTTTTTTATATTTTTGGGGGGGTTTGTTTGTTTGTTTTAGCAGAGCTTTTGATACTCACTTTTGCAGTATCCTTCTAGACAAAATGTCCTCCTAAAGCTAGACAGGTACACAATACACTGGGTGAACAGTTGGCTGAAGGGTTGTAGTAAATGGCATAGCATCTGACTGGCAGTCAGCCGTTAATGGTGTTCAACTTCATAGCCAGTTCTTTTCAATGTTTCTGTAAATGACCTGGATACAGGAGATGAGTGCACACTAAGTAAATTTGCCAAAGATACTAAATGAGGAGGTGTTGGTTCCCTTGACTGTAGAGAGGCTTTAATGGAGAGATCTCGATAGATTAGACTACTGAACAATAAATTGGTGCAGAGAGCTTGATGCCAGGGTTGGATTTGACCCTCATTCATTTGTAGTTTCAGCCCTGCTTCTTTCTGGAAATCTCATTTTTAACTAAGAAAGGAGTGTCAGGTTGCCTGATTCATGTATATATGATTAAGAAGTGAAGTAATGTGTGATGTAGAAAGATAAATAAACTTTGTTTTACCAGAATCAATTACAGTTTCAAAAGGCCCTAATAATTTTTGTCCACAATATCCGTGCCTTCATACTTAAAATAATCTGTTGTTAAGTATATCATTAACTTTCAAAGATGCCTAAAGTTAGAGATATTAATGTTGTTTATAAGATTAATACTCTTTCAATGTTTACCTTATTCACAGTGCAGGTAGCTGTAGAGCACTTCTGAAAATTTCAAGGGATTTGTTAGTGTATATGCTTTGGTTAAGGCTGTTTTTCATCATATTTTAAAAAGAATGTCATTTTGCAGAACGTAGAATTAGGAACTGAATAGAAATAGCAGTAGGGGCTATTAAGGAAATGAAAACAGAATCTATAGTATAGTTAAAGATGACAAGGTGTGAAGCAGTCCCTTTACTCCTCTCCATAATACATCTAGATACTATGGAAACATGGGAATAATCCTCTGAAAGAGCTGTGATAATTGAAAATGTAAGCAAACCCAGTTGAACACAATTAATTGCTTTGCTCTGAAATGTCATCCCACTGTACACGGGCCCTGATAGCAGATTGCAGCCATGGCCTTTTTTTCTTATATATATCATAGACATAATTTCCTTTTTTCATCCTCTTTCAAAAAAAGCCTTGTGTACTTCTAGTTCCAAGTACCATGGTCATTGAGAACATCCTTTAGGCTTTTTTGGCTCATCCTCGAGTCCAGGCAAGGGAAGAGGTTATTCCGTTTGAGCTGAGGTTCCCTTTTGCCTCATTTACTGAGAAGACTCGTAACTCAAAACGTCCATTCTTGTTTTATTGTTTTAACTTACTGTTCATGTAATCTCACTTACGTCTGTTCCCAGATCACAAAATTTGTGCAAGACAGACACAGAGCAAGAAGGAATCGACTTAGGAAGGATCAGCTTAAGAAACTTCCTGTACATAAATTTAAGAAAGGCAAGTAGATAATTCTTTGTCTAACTAATTAGACGCCGTTGTTTTTAACACCCAAAAACCTCAAAATTGAAGAGGTTTGTAGTTTTGGAGACAATTGTGAGTACACTTGGAATGGATAGTAGTCTGGAGTGAAAGTACACAGTTTGACTTGACCCAGTCCTCACTGAAACAGAAGAGTTCTAACATTTCTTTAATGGAAGCAGAGCAGACACCATATGCAGACTGGCTGAGAATTAAAATGTCTTGATATACTACAAAACCAGTACAGAAATTGCACAAGGCTTCCTTGTTGCACTCTCATTAGCAGACACTACAGCAGTCAGTCATTGAAATACATTATTTCTGTTAGTTGGAACTCCAGCGTATTCTTAAAAATGTTTTTATTGAAACATTAGTCAAATGATGAAGCTAGGATACTATAGATACTGGTTCTTCTCTTTATTGCACTGCTTTTTGTATCATGAATCACTGCCTAATTGATGGTTTCACTGTACTGTAAAGGCGTTTTTAAGGGAAAGCTGGCTTTAGTGGATTTCTAGAATTCAACAGCTTGCTAGGCAAATGATGGTGTAATGAAGATTATTGTTCTATAGGGGTGGTTGTACGCTGACATACCTAAAGAACTGTTATACAGAAAATACATGAATCCTCTCTAATTTTTGATTTGAGTCAAACACCACGGCAGTGCCTGGGAATTTTTTTCTAATTTCAGTAGACACAGATTGGGCACTTAGCATTTTTGTAATGAGTAGAGAATGTAGTTAGAAAAGGTGTGGCGTTGACTGGTTTTCCAAAGTCTTGCTCAACAAGCCTTGCCTTTCAGTAAGTCCACAGAATGCAGTGTATGCTATATCAAAATCTGCTTTCTACACTGGAAGAGTTTTGGGGCAGTTGTCTTGTGGTTCCTTAAAAACTAGACTACATTTTGATCATGCAGAAGTCAGTGGGAGTTGATATATTTTGTGTTATACTTTTACAACAAAAGTGAACACAGAAAAAAAAAATCAATTTATGTGCCTTTAATTTCATCATCATCAAACCTGAATATTCTGAAGAATAATATCTTAAAAAAAAATACAGGTTAGAAAAATCGTGAGTTATGTATTGTAGAATTTATTTTCAGGAATACATAATATTATTTCCAAGCTAGCTTACCTTTACATTAAAATGGAATCAAGGACAAGACTGAAAAGATCTTTAATCTCTCACTCTGGTAGAAAAGAAAATACTTTAAATTCAGTGAAGACAGAAGGCTGTGAAAGAGAGATATGTGGGCATATTATTGGGAAATTAAAAATGAACAAAGCATGGAAAGTTCTTTTCTATATTAAATCTTGAAAGTTAAGATCCTGAATGAGTGCTTAGACACCTGATAAAGAATCCAGACTTTGGGAGTCAGTATATCCACAAGACTTCTAAAAATGGTGCTTCTTGGTTAGGTGTTTAAGTATGAAAGAAGAGCTTAACTTTTGACAGTCAGCTTTGAAATGCTTCATGTACACATGGGAAAAAGCTCCAATATTTGTGACAAGCTGTAAGAGTACCTGCCATTTTAAGCAGATGCATATTTTAAACTATTGTGTATATTGAATTTCTGTGTACCTATCTTTCTATGCACATTGATACATGATGGAGCAGTAGTGGGAAATAGATGTATCTCAATGCTTTTTTTAAAAGCTTCTCCAAATTAAGTGTGGCTCTACACTTTAGTATGTATTCCTAAATTGATTTCTTTTTCCTGTAAACGAACTTTATAACATCTAATTACTGTTCATTACTAACCCATCTGATTGACTACACAGTACAGTTACAATCTATCAGAGAAAAGAAGTCATATAGTCTACCAAAGTCTTGGCAATTTTATTTTTGCTTTTTTTTGGGTTTTTGTTTTTTTTAATTGTTCGTAAGTACACTTATCTGGGTGGGTAGTTCTGTGTTTCTGAAATTTGTCATAATTTATATGTGCTTAGTAGTTAGAAGATAATTTTGCTCAATAAACGTTTTTCATGCAGTTTGTTTAAGCAAGACCCTTTATTTTGCAGCAGTTTACATGCTTCCTGTTTTTCCCTCTAAGTTGTTGTGGTTTCAGCCAGCTTCTAAAACACAGTAACAGGTATAGAGAAAAAAGGTGTCTGCAAAGTGTCCCTTTTAAAAATTGAATCTTCTGTTCTTTGAGGGGCATGTAGCCATGGAGGTGAAACTAACTTGTAGACTAGTCGAGGAGGCTTCAGTGAAATTGTACAGGTCTTGGCGCTGATGAGGGCTGGCGTTTCTGGTCCAGGCTGCTGCACAGGCTGCCTCCCTTCCCCAGGCCATGATGAGAGCAAGAATCTGGGCAGTAGCTTAACTAATGTATGTGATGACCTGTTGGAGAAAGGTAGCAGATGGGCTGCAGCTGATGGATCCACAAGGCGTAGGTGAAGCAGCTGTGCCGAGGGCTTGGTGTGAATTACTGTGCAGTGAAGGATGGGCTGTCGTGTTGGGTGAGGTAGGCTTTGGTGCGTGACTCTTGGCAAGAGTCAGAGGAGTACTTTCGTTGCAGTTATCTGAGGTGCTGTTGGAGAGATCTGTAGCCACCATGTGTGACAACTTCAGCGTCAGCCTTGCTGAGAAAATGTTAGCGGTGTTTGCTTGGCCCAGAAATGGATGACATGCTTTACCACTGCATATTTTTTTTTCATTTGCCAGGGGATGCCTTAGTGAGATAAGCCTACTCCAGAACAGTGTGCTATCATTTTTCAGGACTGTCTTATAAATGTGGAATGACTAGTGGAAAAGAAAAGGCAGCTGTATTATTTGAATGGGTTTTTTTTTAATGTGAGATATGATGCCCTTGACAGCGCTGACTGATGGTTAACATTCATTTCTGTGTTGAACTTGATAATAATGTGCTGATTATAAATGATCCGTAAACATGGTTTGACTAAAAGAAACAACAGAGAGAAGGGATGCCATAGCAAAAGAGGAAGTAATTTTTTTTTAAAGCTCTAGCTGAAATGCATTGGTTAGATTAGGTGAAGACTCTTACTTCAGTGATGTAGGTCTGGTAGTGATGGACTCCATTTAATCTCTGACCTTTCCTACCTGCCTGTGAGATTTTGTTCTCTTTCCCACTTTCCCTTTATCTTCTCCTGTTGTTGTATAGTAACTATCAAGAAAATGGTGTTTGTAAGTGGTTCTCGTGTCCACTGTGCTTGTTTTCTGAAATGCGAAATTACAGCGGTGTTATTTTCCAGCTGTGGTCATCAGCTTTGCCTTTATGTTGAACAATATATATTAACAAAAATAACATGGACTACATTTCACAGACTTTGTGCCATCACAGAAGCCCTTGGAATTTTATCTTTTGTAAAACAGATGAAAATTCGGTTTTAATATTGGACAACAGACCTGTGTACTAGGAGGTCTTGAGTTGCAACTTGTAGTTTGATTTACTGCATGCTGAGATAAAACAATGGTAATCTCTGCCCGCTCTCTTCAATCCCTATAAAGTAGGATTGAGAGTGTACTACTCTGCAGTGCTCTTACGGAAACTGTTGCAAAGCTCTATCAGTAGCATGATTTTATTTTTTTTTGCATTAATCTTCCTTTTACTGCCTTTCTGGTTTTAAAAAAAAATTGTAATGAAAGCAATATAATTAATGCATATGTACTAATTCCATCACTCCATAATTTACCGTTGCTGATAGCAAAGCATATTGCAGATGTGCTCCTTCACTTATCTCTGCAGTCCTTCTTCCCTTCTCTTTATCCTGTCAAACCACTAGTTTTAGCAAACCTGCAATTAAACAATTGGTTGTGTCTTTGTTAATTGTACCCATAGTGCTGGCTGACCGTTTCATTTAGTGTGATATATAATAATGCAGAAGTCAGGTAGTAGGTAACACAAGACCTTACTACATTAGAGATCAGTCTGTTATTGCAGAGGTGTGAATAGATTTTAGCATCTATCTTACACCCGCAAATAAAGAAATCCTTTTAGTAGCGTGAAGAACTCAACCTTCTTAGGATGTCTTATGTGCCTGGGTTTTGTATAGGCTATATAATTGTGGACTACTTAAAGTACTTGGTTTTATACCTTCATAAGAGAGGAATGTTAGAAGGGTTTGTTCTGTTTTGTTTTCAGTTTTGTTTTCTTCTAAAATGGAAGTGTCAGGCATAGACAGAAGGTAAATTCAGTAGAAATCCTATCATGACCATCATAAAACATAAGTAATCAAGTGTAACCTATATTTTGGTAAAATCAGTGGGCTCAATTTCTATTCCTTTGCTTGTTTGCGGAGCTTAGGTTGCACAGGGAATAAAAGAGCAAGCCTTATGAGTGAGGCAAGAAAAGAGTTGTATGCAACTCCCTGTAAGGGGCTTCCCTTACACCTTCCAGAAATATATCGAGCACCATAGTGGATAGCCCTTCAAGTGTTGTATGTTCCTATGCTTTCACTCTAACAGGTGGCAAGTTTCAATTTTGTATGTAGCACTTCTAAAATACTGAAGTCCTAAAAAAAAAAAAAAAAAAAAAAAAAATTAAAAAATTAGCAGAACAGCACCAGATGACAGTCATGATCCTGCATAAGATCCTGTTCCGTATTTTCTACGATGTAGAAGAGACATTCCAGATAAACAACACCAGGTGTTTTATATATTTAAAAAAAATTACAGCACCTTTAGAAAGCCCATAACAGAACTGTTTTCATGAATGTACTTTACACTGAAAATTTTTAAGTCTACATACAGAATGTTAGTTGCTATAGACTTCAGAGAACTGTGTACACAACAATATGGGATTCTATGGTAATATAATTCTCTGAACTACAGAAATCAATCCTGTATGATTTTTTATTTTTTACATCCTAGTTGATGGTACTTTGACCTTGGAATGTGCAAAATACCTTGGAATGGTACTGTGACCTTGGAATATAATAACACAGCAAACACAAACTCAGATAAATTTAACAGCCCTATTGTTAATGAGCTGGCTCAGTTCTTAGCACATTTTTGTTAATATCTGAAAAGAAGGCTTGCAAAAATCCTGAATCAAGGCAGAGGAGCATTTGCCTCCTGTTCTGGTATTGTGGAATATAAACCATGTCTGTACTTAAAAGCTGAAGCTATAGTTATTTCAGTGTGAATATACAAATGCTTTTAGGCTACTACTGTAATTTTTTCAGTTGGTAGGGTGGTTTTATTACTATTTTTTAATGAGAAAGTATTTAAACATGATCAAGACTAATGGTGAGTTAAAGATTTTTTGCAGACTAAACTGGAAAAGATGTTACATTGTGTTTGACAGTTTTCTGCAGTTCGGAATCAAAATTGCTTGACTTTTTTTACATCTGCAAAGAAAGTTTATTTTTCTCAGAAGTACATTGTTACACTGTTAATGAAAAAATTCTAGTCAAGTTGCTTTTTAGAAATTTTTAAGTCTTTAATTTTTAACATTTGTGCTTTATTAATGATCTTACTCCGAACACATAAACAGAAAAACAGTACACCTTTGCCCTCTTTTGTCACTAAACCATCTCATTTTGCAGATTGTTTTTCCCCCAAAACTACTTGAAATTTGAGCTGATGATAGCAATTCACCTTTTATGCCCCTGCCTCACTGACAGGTCACTGTCACTATTTCTGTTGGCTCTCTGCAGCTTCTCTGGAAGCCCAGGTCCTTCATAGCTCCTGATTTTTCCTGCAGTGGTGTACTTGTTGTCCTTACATGCACTAAACAGAACAACCATGCTGATTTGCATAGGAAAATTAACTTTTTCTTTGAAAACTGACTAAATTCCCAATGTAGCTAATTTTACTATGTGTAGAAAAGCATTTGGCTTAGCAGCATGTTATCCAAACACATTTTTAGCTGAGATTCTCTCCTGTCGTGTAGTTTCATTACAGTAAAAAGGACAGCTATGCTACTGTTTTGAACTTTTGTGTTGAAAGGACATCTCTCCCGAGTAATGCAAAATCTGCCTGATTCTGCCATTCGTAAGCTTCTTGTTAACGTAGGGTAAGCTCATGACCTAAATGTGGGCCTGCTGTGCCTACACAGTATCAACATTTGCCCCATTATTTCTACCTTTTCCCCAGAACAACACTTTGACAACTTGTGTATTCTATCACCACTTTTGAAAGAGCTTGAAGCGTGAACTCTGCTTTTGATTTGTCCCCTGTTGATCTCAGTCCCATGTGTGTAATCTGGACAGTGCTTTGGGAAGTAATATGAGAACTGCTGTGAGGAAAAAAAAAATCTAAATTTGTGGTGAACAGTGTTGTGTCACAGATTACTGTGTGTGATGTGTATGTTGAAAGGTGAACTATGTAAAATATTGTTGTGGTGGCTGTTAACTAGCCTTAGCACACGTGAGTCTTGCACGCTTAAATCTAACTTCTCCAATGTGAAGCGTCAGTGACATGCAGCAATGAGGTGTTAGTGCAGCAGATAGTCCAGACAAGACTTGATAGATGTTTACTGGGAGACAATTAAGGTGACACAGTGGCAAATGGAAGTGTGGAGTTTTGAGTGTGACCGATGAGATAACACGTGGGATGGAAGGGGGCTCAGGTTAGGTGGAATTTGGAAGGAGATGGGAAAAGCTGCACTGAGAGGGCCCTGGAAACAAGATACACCATGTCAGTCCTTTTTTCTTTTACCTTGAGGTGACAAGGTAACCAGGGCCTCCTTTCTCTCACAGAGCTGTGTGTGTGTTCATGCTGTATGCCTTTTCCCATCTGTGTTTTGGTGTACGAGTGAACCTTCTCTGCACAAACTCTTCCTGGTGGGATCTATGTCTTCTTACTTCCCTCACTCGTCTGCTGCATGGTAAACCCCAGGAGTTTGGCTAGCTCTGTAGGTGGTGAAAATGTAAACTGCAGAGCACAGGGGCATGAAGAGGCAGTTGGGAAGATGGTGCAGGCTGGCAATGGGCAGACTTAGTGGGCTAGGGCTGCTATTGTGAATACCTAGCCACAGTATGCAGTGAGAGTGATGTGGTTCTTGGCCCCCTGTCCTGGGTCTTGCAGGCTGTATCTGGGGTGTGCATCCTTTGGGCAAGGTGGCCCACATTGTCTTTTTTTCTTGAGGTGCTGTTGTTGGTGCCTTTCCTTATCACAAAGCATGCAGCCAGGATGCAGGCACCCTAGGAGCACGTGTTGAGCAGATGACTGCCCTTACAATAGGATGTACAAATATGCAGTGAATCATTTGATCCTGTAACTATCCAGTCCCTTGACCAAACATGTGTTAGTCAAGTGATAGGGGAGTTTGCAGTTCAGTCTGCTGGCACTTGTGTTTCTAGCCTTGTGACAGGCAGGGCTTAACAGAGGGAGAGGCCGGCTGGCCCAGACGTTTGTTTTTGGGTTGGGTTGGGGTTTTTTTTTTGTTTTTTTTTTTTTTTTTCTGGTACATTGTGGGTTTTTTTCACTGTCAGGAGGGTGTGCAGCCCTAGCGAGCAACTGCTAGTGAAGAGACAGTGCAGTACTGGACAGTGCCAAGACAGCTTCAGTCATCTAAATGAAGTGCTAATGGCATAGTAGAAGTACCATCTGGAAATAGTGAGTCTCAGCATTGGATGTGTCTGAGTTGCAAGAGGTGTGCAAGTGAAGAGGTCACCAACTTCTGCAGATACAGTGGCTTTCTGTGCATGGCCAGAGCTTTCCCAGCCATGACAGAGCTGAGCAGCTACTCAACACAGCTGATGTCAAAGCAAGGGATCCAAACAGTGAAAGGGATGCTTTCAGTGCTTGGGTTCCTCTCAGGGCATGATCAGGTAAGTATTCACAAGGCGTGTAAGGAAATACGGCTCCTTACAAAATGAAGCACAGGGAATTAATTCCTTATCTTGTTCTGCTTGCACGTGCAACTTTTGCGTTGCCTGTTATCTCAACCCAAGCATTTTCACACTTTTACCAGATCTCTCCCCTGTCTCACGGAGGGGGCAAGCAAGCGGCGGGGTGGAACTGAGCTGCTGGCCAGGTTAAATCACAAGGACGTAACCTGCTGGTGTAACTGCAAACTTTACAGGGCCAGTGTCTTGCAAGAAATGGGAAGTAACAATTTGGGTAAACTAAAGGACCATGCTCTCAAGCCCTTGACAAAAATGAAACAGGAATACATTTTTTTTCTAACAGGTGCTTATTTTTGGTCATATAATGTATCACAACAGTGTACGTGACATCCTTACTGTCACTAATGTATATCTTATTTGTGAGGTTTGAATTACAAAAATAATGTAAACTTTCTCCTGTGACCAGACTGTCATTCTTGATTATTCTGCTTTTTTACCCAGTTGTCTTTGTTGCTATTTTTCTGCCTAAGTTTTCTCAATAACACTAATACTTGTATAGTAAAGTGAATCTTCTATTTTAAATCTTTTTATCTTATTTTTAATAAGAATGATTGAATATTCTAGAGAAAGTATTTCACACACTTTAAAACATTTTTATTAACCTGGAGGGAAAGTGAACGAGCTATACTCATAATGAGGATAGAAATACAGCAGTCAACTGTATAGCTTCAAAGAACCTAACCAATGCATGGACAGGAAAGAGAAGGAGTTTCTTTAGCCTGTGAAACTAACAGGAAGAACCTGTATGCATGAGTTTGGAAAGGTCTGTTACAAATCTTTTAAACTGATTGTCAATTATATGCTACAGGAGACGAATACGATGTATGTGCCATTTGTCTGGATGAATATGAGGATGGGGACAAGCTCAGAATCCTTCCGTGTTCTCATGGTAAGCAGCTGTATTTCAGGTTTGGTTTGTGTATTAAAATAGCTCTCTAAAACACTGTGGCTAAAGCCCACAGTGAATATGTTGTTTGATTGATTTATAAATGTATGTTATGCAGGAGTATATATACAAATTGGGAAAAGAGAAAACTCTCCTTTCCTCTTTAAAAGTAAAAAAAAAAAAAAAGACTAGCATTCCTACTTTGCATTTTCCTTTGAATGTGCATATGAAAGAAAATCATGGCTTGATGCTGTCCCTTAAATGACTCTATTTAATAGGGAAACGCATTCCAGAGTTACTTTTTACATTTAAAAAAATAGGCTTTCACTTTCTCCAAGACAATTAAACCACGAAACGTAATTCAGGTACGGGTGACATAGAGATGAAAGGGTCCAGTCTGACCTGAAGCCGTACAGACCACTGCCTTGACTGTACTTGGCAGTCAGTGTTGCACGTGCCAAAATTAGTGGCGTACTTTTACAGTGACAATTGTGCACCAGCTGTGAACAGTCTTCCTCAAATACAGCCCACTGCAGGTCTATCTAGTAGTCGTGTATGTAGCTGTCCACAAGACAAGACTGATCTTAACTGAATGCAAGTACAAGAAGCATTTTAAGATTTAATATCTAGAAATCTGGAAGAGGCCTGGGCCCAAGAGCTTTCCTGAACTGAAACACTTTTTTTTATAAAAACTGTGTACAATCTGTCAAGAAAGTTAGGATTCATCCTTCTTAGATTGAGATCCTTTCTACCTCCCAGTCTATTAACTATATTACAGTCATTTTGGCTGGGTGCAGTTTTGCCCAGCTTTTTCTCATTAAATTACTGCTCTGACCAGGCAGTGCAACAGCAAATACCACATCACTAAGATTTTAAAAAAGAGGCAACTGATGTTGCAGCCCTACATCACCTGTGAACACAGCAGACGACGGACTAAGTTTTGTAGGTCCTCAGTCATAAAAAAAAAAACAACTCCACAACGATCTGACACAAAGTTCTGAGAAGAGAAAGAACAGATCCATAGCACCTGTCTCAACTAGAACTGCAAAGTTAACTAAACCTGATCACCACTATGAAAGGCTGATGACAAATAAAAACCAAACCCAAAACTACCACTGTCAGTTCTTGTGGAGGGCATGCTGCTAAACATGCTTGAACAGGCACTGAACGCAACATGCTTGCCCCTCTAAATACTGAACCTCTTTGGTGGATAGAAGTCTCTGTTCCTAAGCAGAGCTAAGCTTTTAATGCCTTAAGAAAGACACTTTCAAACATGTATTTCTAAACAAGGTCAGTATCGTTGCAATGCCAACTGTAGACCTCATTTTAAAATCTGCAAAATCATGCAGTAACTTTAATAACAAGGTGGATCGATACATCTTGGTGGAGGCTAGAGGCATTATAAGGGTGGTGATGGTGGGCATGTCTGCTGCAAGGTGGGTATGATTCCTTGAGAAGCTTTTATTTATAGAAGTTTATTTTGTTGAAAATGGCCCATTGCAGGACTCCTCTCAGATCCATTCAGTAGAGGAAATAGTTGTTCATTGCATATAGCCATAGGGTTGAGATCCTTATCTACTGAGTGTGCTGTACATAAGGGTAGACAGTCTACATGTCAACAAACTTGTGACTGAAATTGAACAAGTTAAATTCTGAAATTCCCCTGTGTAATCATAAGTACCATTTAGCAGGTTTCCGTGTCCTTTTCACTGAGATAATGATATGCTTGTATTTTGTTTCCTAACAGCATATCACTGCAAGTGTGTGGACCCATGGCTGACAAAAACAAAAAAAACATGTCCTGTGTGTAAGCAGAAAGTGGTCCCTTCTCAGGGGGACTCTGACTCTGAAACAGACAGTAGCCAAGAAGAGAATGAAGTGTCTGAAAATACTCCTTTGCTTAGACCGTTAGCCTCAGTTAGTACCCAGTCGTTCGGAGCTTTGTCAGAGTCTCATTCCCACCAGAACATGACTGAGTCCTCAGAGTATGAGGAAGATGAAAATGACAATATTGATAGCAGTGATGTGGAAAATGGAATAAACGAAGAAAGTGTAGTGGTTCAACTTCAGCCTAATGATGAAAGGGAGTACCAAGTGGCAAATACTGTTTGAGACTACTTACAGTGAGTAGTGTGCGAACAAAAGAGTTCTTAAGGCTATACATTACAAACCTTTATGTAGGGAATATATTTTAATCTGTAATCCATTTGGTTTCTTCAGTAGGAGCAGAAGTTCATGTAGTAGTTCTATGGTTAAATCATTACAGATAGATTTATTTTTGATTCAGGTATTCAGTCACACCTTCTGTCTTCTCAAAATGAACAGTTTAACTGGACTTCACGATGCTAATGAACAATGTTAATAGTTTATATCAATAGAAATATCACAAAGACTATGTATTTTGTTGAAATGGGGGTTATCTGGAAGTAATTTTTTTTCCACTTTGTAGCTACAACTGGGTCATACTGATAGCAGTATTTATTAAATGTATGGTATGTGTTACCCCTTAAGCCCAACAAAAACTGTATTTGCATGTTTGTATAGAGTTTTCCTAAAAACTCACTACTACTGGAAGAAAAACGTAGAACAGGTCAATATTCTATATGCTGGTATAGCAAAACAAAGCAGAAGAAACTCCACTTTTATCTCAAAGCAGTGATTCCAAATAATCCATTGGAGTTTGGCACAGTAGCCGAGTTTACACAGTTCCATTGAGCAATTCCTAGGATAAGGAATTTTGGAATGTGGAGGCTTTGAGCAGTTCACAAGATAAGATCCACCATAAATACATTACTTATCCCTGCTTGCCACTACGATGCAGTCTGATTTCCAGTGAGGATGTGGGAATTGGGAGGGAGGAGGGGGCCGGTGATCAAAACAGAAGTTTTGTTTCATATAGAAGAATAATTTTAGGTAAGTATTGTATTGATTCTCAACTCATATACCTCTTACTAAAGAGCATTTTATGCTGCATTAGTTTGCTAAACTGTGTACATACAAAATTTGTTTTTTTCAAGTACCCGATTTGAGAACAAGTGCTTACAACTGTTTAACAGAACTCAGTACTTACCAGTGTATGATAAAAAAAAAGCAAATGGTATGTATTACCTCTGTAACTATGTAGACAGTAAAAACATACATGTAATCAAAATGCAGAGATTTTTTTAATATGGCCTTGAATAAGGAACGCTTGAAAGAATGTTAATAAACATGTTTTCCACTTTAAGTATCAAAAGGAATTTGTTGAACAACTGCACTGCTTACGTTCGTCGTATCCTCTTCTACACGGCTTACTAAGGTTAAATTATTTTTAAGGATGCAGAGCGCAGGGCTGTTACGATCCCTTGGCAGGCACTAACCAGCGCAGTGCCGTGCGTCCCATACAGAGCTGTCCTGAGCACTGCTGTGTGCAGAGCACCAAGGTACATACAGAAACCCTGGGTTTGTTCACTTTTAGTTTGAGGTGAAGTGTGAATCAGTCTGGGCCTGTGCATGTAACTTGGGAGAGGGGAGGACGACCAGGGTGCCGTTGACATTCTGCCACCCGCCAGTGACCTGGGAGCTGGGGTCTGTGAGCCCAAGTTGGGGAAGCCAGAAGCACCCGGGTGGGACTGAGGTGATGATAGGTGAGGCATTTCCACTTGTTACTTCTGACCTGGCCACGCTGCGGCTGCCCCCGCTCGCCACAGCCTGGCTATGGAAATGGTTCTTTGGAACTGGCTAAGAGCAGAGAATGCTTATTTTGCAAAATGAGGCCTGGTAAAAGCGGTAATGATGAAAGAATTATTCAACTTCAAACCTCTGCCACCAGCAGCCCATGGAGTTAATGACAGATGACCTATCACCTATTTTCACCGTGTAATATTCTACTGCAGCTTGCATGTGTGTCTAGTTGGGTCCAAATGTGAAAGCTGGTGTTCAAAAACCTACCAAGCTGAAAGATGATTGTTAAAATAGGTCCCTGCAGTTGATGGTATCAGCGCATGTGTTCACTCATCATTGTATTTCAGGCACCCCAAAACCAGGCAATCAGAACTGTAAACTGAAGTAAACTTTGTAACATATGTTATATGTAACTCCAGTTGTAGTATTTGATGAAAAAAACAGAGTAAAATTACACTCTTTTTATCAGTTCTTCCCCTGCTATACAGAGAAAGTTCATGCAGCAAAGGATATTCTGCTTCCATCCCAAGTTAAATGTGTTTCCTGGGACCTCAGACACCATCATCTCTCTGCCTAAAGCAGCCCAGGAACAGTCAGTTATCACAAAATACTATTTGTGTGACTTGTATAAATAGGTCCTTAGAAAATAAGCTTGCACCAAACTATTAATTGCATAATGAGAACAAACTGATTGGAGAAGGAGCCGGAAGAGGTCAGGAATTGAGAAGTGCCTGCAAAGGGGAAGGTAAGCTTTTATTTGTCAGGAGGTGGGAAGAATCCAGTGAAAAGTGACTGGAAGAGGATGATGGGTCTGACGAGTGTTCTTTTTGACAGGTCAGTGATCAAGGAATGGAGAAGATTTAAACAGCAAAGCAAACTCTCCCTGCTCACCAATGCTGGGAGAGTTTCAGGGCCAGTGTTTGAACAAACAGTAATAATGGGTACCTACATGCAAAATAATACCATGAATATTAAAAATTGGATAATGTCTTAAAAATGCAGTGCCATCAGTAGTTCAGAGTAGGTAAATGTTTTTTACTGAGTTCTAACAGAATTCTAAATACCTTTGAAAGGCCAAGTAATAAAGGCTGGTATAATTAAAATCTGTCTGAATTATTATGGTGCAGAAAATAAGCATGCTGACAATTAACTTCATAAATGTGGTCAGCATTAAAAACTTACAAATCCCTGATACTGTGCACATAAATGCAGCCCTCGTCATCTTCCAGTGTGTGCCAGGCAATCAGAGAGGCGTGAGTGACAGGCTAGATGTAAACCTTCAGAAAGTGAAGCAATTCAGTCAATAGTGAATTAATCTTGAAGAGTGGCTGAACAACTTGAGAACTACTCTTAAAAACCAACCTTTGATGCCACTTGAGCTTTTTTATAAAATGGCAGGTGCTGTAAACCTCAGCGAGAGAGTATGGGGAGTTTTGAGAGTGCTACTGCTAGTGTAAGAACAACAGGTATTGGAGATGGCTCCAATGGTTTCCAAACCATGGTGGTTTTCATGGACCAGGAAGAGAGTAGAAAAGGAACAAACTATGAGCACAAACCCAAGGGAACTATACAGATCAGGTGTCTTCACTGCAGCCATGTATGAGCCCTTTTACGAGTCCTAAAATTGAGTGACTGCTGAAGTGACTGGGGCAGCACCGAGTTATGTCACAGGGCTTGCAGGTGCCACCTGAAGTTATGCAAGGACAACAGGTACACAGGACTGCAGGGGACTGGAAATGGACAGGTAACATCAATTACTCACACGGAACTCTGTAATTTCTGAGACGACGTGCTGCACTGTATTTCTCCCAAGAACTTTTTGCAAGGAAAAACATTTAAAAAGCACGGATGGGGAAGTGGTTTGCATCCTCTGTAGCTACTGGTAAATATAACCTTGTTTAGCACTAGGGGCTCATTCTGGTCTGCTCTGACTTGGGTGCTAGCAGCTGGAGTTCCAGTTCATACACTGAACCCCAAGCAGTTGGAGAAGATAATTTGCCTACAGGTTTTAAGTTGAACCAGGATCTAGTGACAAGGAGCAGGTGCAACACTTGCACTGAAGATGTAGTGGAAAAACTAGGGAGAATAAAGGCATTTTAATCTACTGCCATTACCAGGGCTGAGAAAAGCACAGCCTTAGCTAGAGATTAACCTCCTCTGGTCTGGGCTTTTGTTTTGTTCCCTGTCCCCTAACTCCCGTTGATCATGATCGCATCTCACCAGTGTGTTCACAGGGCCCATGTTTTCACAAGTATCATAAGCCAGGTGGAATTATTTTGGGGTAACAAGGTAAGAATGTTTCCCTACCCTGTGGCTAGGCCACCACACACCCCCAGGAACAGAGCCAGCGGCAAAGGTCTCCTCTAGCTCCTGTTCCAGGGATTGCACACAGGAAACCCCCTTACCACAGTTGGATAAATCTGGAGTTGTGACAAGAAATCATCTCCTAATTTGAGATCTACCCCAAAGACTGCCTGGCCTTTGACTAAGGTTACATTACTGTACTACTGCTGTTTTGCAAAGCTTACAGCCACATTAGTGTAGTCGGCCAGGCAAGAAAGGGCTTTGGAGGATTTCTGTGGGGGGAAAAATTACCCAAGAGTCTGATTTTGTTTGGTTGGAATAAATTTATTTCATCTGTCTGTAAACAAGGTGTTTTTAATAGTTATGGCATTTTTTGAAATGCATATTAAATCAGATGAGTTAGACTGTATCCCAGATGTAACAAAGTGCAGGGAAAGAAATGGACAAATCAGCAACAAGAATTTGTTTAAATCTGTACATTATCCACAAGGCCCAACAATATAAGCAAATACTAGAATGTCCCTAATGTAGTGCCATTCGACAGAAACCCTCGGAGTCGGTTAAAATCCATCTCACAATAGCAACAGTTCTTTTTTTTTTTAAACAATAGTATGGCACAGAATACATATTAAAAAATTCATCACAAGACAGCCAAGTCAGTTATTCCAACCAATACCATCTCCCATTTATTCTTTTGTATACAGAGTTCTGCAGTTCTTTAATGGACATACAGGTTAGTACCGTGCCTGAACTGAGTTTGGTTACAGACGTTTCAGATGACTGGTGCACAAGGCAGTTCACTCCATGATCACTGCAGCAAGGGTGTGACAGGCCAAATGAAGATCTTAAATTTGAAATGGCATCATTTTGACAGTTTAGCTTTCAAACTGCTAACCTTCATCCAAACAGTGGCTTCAGAGCAGCAAAACTCTTTACCAGTAAGTGATCTGGCAGAAACACTGGAGTCAGTCAGAGCTCCCAGTATAGTTGAAGGTGGCAGTTTTCCACAATGACACTGCAGTTTTTCATAATAAAAAACAAAAACAACAAAAGAACCTACGATGCCCAAGCTGCAAATTAAAATTGGTCCTATGAAAAACTGAAACCAGACACACTCCAGATGGTTATGCTGGGATAGCTCATGTCCATAATGGCAGCCTTTACAATTCAACTACAGAACAGGAGCTGGCAACAACAAGAAAAAAAAAAGTGCCTGAGCTATTGCAATGATGGAATGTCTGTGGGGATTCATTCAGGATGGTGGTTTTAAGGTCATGGGAGGACATGCATCTGTACCCTTCCATAGTTTTGAGGTTGCACTTGCTAAGCAGTACAAGCTTCAGACATCATGAAGAAAAAATAGAAGACTC